CTTTTGTTGGCTAAAATCAAATTCCTAATTTTTTTATTTTTTTTCTCTTTTTTCACACAGAAAAATCAAATTTTTAATTTTTTTTTTTCACAAAAAAATCAAATTTATAATTTTTTTTTCTCACAAAAAACTTTACCAAATCTTCGCCAAGCTGTTTTCTCTAGAGTTGATGGCAACAAAGAAGCCTGAAATCTTTTTTATTGTTTTCAGGCTGTTTTGCTCTTGTGCTTTCAACCATAAAGATCTGTAAATGATTCTTCTTTCACTATCATATGCGGGATCCTTAAAAAGCAATAAAATAATTCTAATGAATTCAACGGCAAATTCAACAATAAAAAATCAGAGTTTTTTTTTCTTTTCTATCTCTATTGAATTAAAAAAGACTAGTTACCGTTTTATTTCTTTTTATTATGTTGTAAATTTGGGAAATACTAACTGACAGATTTTATTACAGTAATATATATATTGTTGGAACTCTTTTTTGACAAATGGCTCAGGCCAGTTTTCCGGCGACATTTTCGGTGAGCACAGTTACCGAAATGACCGGATTATGGATTCTTTGGATTCCTTGTAATGAGTACTATAAGATAATGTATTCACTTGTCAAAAACGAAGTTGATTTGAATGAGAAATCTTTGGTCAAAGTGGGCATGTAATCAAGACAAAAAGTCAACAAATGTCAAGATGAGCATTTTGTCCCACATCGAAAGTTTATATAGTGACACACTCTCAACAATGTTCACTAGCCTTTAGAAGAGGACACTATGGAGAAGGAGAGAAAGGGCTGTTATGCAAAATCACACACGCGCGCGCGCCGTGCCGAGCCGGGCGGGGCTTGGTCTTGGGTCTTGGTGAATATGGGCTTTAGTCCACAACAAGATGTTCTTTTTGGAGTAAATACTCATTAACTTATTTTCATAAATATATTAAGATAATTTGCATAACTCGATAAATCTTTATGATTGGGTCGAAAATTAATAACAGAATATTTCCATAATATATCTGTTTGCGCCCCAATTCTTCTATCCGCTATATATACTCGCCTCTCTCATTCATTATTCTTCATCAGCGAAAACTTATAGCTTTCGAAAACACAAATATCCAGCAAATCCCTCTCGTCTCTACAGTCTTAGGTGAGTTTCGAGAGTATAGCGTAGAATTTTCAGTTCGCAGACTCTATAGTCGGGTGCTGCGACTTTAGTCTCAACACGGTTGTATCCTGGGATTCTGAATCTCTTCAAACCGCCACACTGCGGAAGATTTAAAGAATTAAAAAAGAGATCATATCTCGACTCCGTGTATCTTCTTTCCTTAAAGATTTTATTAAAATATTTTATTCTTTTATTATCATTTATTATTGATTTAAATCATTTTTATATTCGTGAGTTTTAATCTGAATTTTCGCGGTCCTACATATATATATATATATATATTACTCTCGTTAAGAAACCTATCTCTCCGAATCCAGATACAGCTTCCTTGTGCTGTGTTTTACACATACAACCAACCATCAATTCTCATCAAAACTTTAAATACACGACTGAAATGCCAAACCATATTATGTTAAAAGCAGCAATCTAGTGCCATCACTTTAGTATGAATTTGATTAAATTAAAAAGGTTTATAAGATCTTCTTTAGCTCATCTGAATTTCATGAAAATCTGTGAGATATCTGATATCTTGATAAGCCATCTCCACCTATACCTGCATAACAGTAACATTTGAAACATTTTTACTTAAGAACCATGATAATTTTATCGCCTTTCAGGAAATACTTGGATAAGAATTTTGGGGAAAATGTGACAGCAAACTTACTAGCGCTTTTTGTTTAACAAGTTGAAAAAATAACACATCACCAAATATCAGGAAATGTTGGACTATTGTTGAAACACAACTCTAATAACAATTGTACCTGCACAACAACAGTAACATTTGAAACATTTTTACGGAAGAAGCAAAATGATTTTATAGCAGCCTTTCAGGAAACTGCGAAATCGATTTCTAAATTAACTTCAAAATGTGGGGGTATCAAAAGAAAAGGAAAAAAGTTCTAAAGTGTGAGAGAGTTTTAAATAAAGATAATATTACTCTTAGATTAATTGGGCCTTTCCGGCATGAATCTCTGACGGTCAGGATGGGTTTCTCCAATCACTTCCGGTGATCAGATGCAGAAGGACGGAGGAGTGGTTACTACAGCACCTTCGGCAGAACAGAGTCAGATACGTCAGTGGTGATCCCGTCGGCGATGACTGAAGCGGCGTGGAAATCTCCGTTCTTGCGACGTGGTGTTTCTCGGTTTAGATTTAACCTACAACGTGTGTTGCAAGTTTATTTGGGTTTCAATTGTATTGGGCCTGAGGAGTCTATTTGCAACCAGCTCTACCCAGTTTGGGTTTTAATATTAAAAGAGACGGAAAAAAATTAATTGGGCCAATTAAGGCCTGATGACAAATTAAGATTAGTGACGCCCAAATTACAAATACAATCGTACTCTCGGCACCGTCGGTACAAAGGCGGACACCGGCGAAGTAATTTATCGGTAAATGTCCAACAGCCTTATGAATTGTTTAATTTTTGCGATTTATTCTTCCGGAACATTCATTTGATTTTCCGTTTTGCCTTTCTTAATGGATTTTCAGGGAAAGCCAGATTCTGATCAGAACACATCTGGTGAGGACTGAGGATGCCATCTGAAATTTAGCTTTCTCCATTGTTCGTTTTTATGCCTTTCATTATCCCAAAGAGTAATTCTCAAGCTGCTTGCTGTTGGTCTTTTAGAGGAAGAGGAAGAAAATGATATGTGGCCAAGTGAGAAGGCGAAGGAAGAGGTAATGTGTAATCTCTAATTTTCGACTCTGCACTGTTTTGATCTTAGTTGAGGAAGAACATGGTAGCCTTTAATTATGGCCATTTAATCTGATTTTGGCCATTTAATTGTTGTCCCCATTTGAGGAGGAGTAAAAGATACTTCATCCGTTTCAGAATGTATGATGTTTTAGATGTTTCACATATATTAAAAAGGCAATGATTATTTACTTTTTAAAGTATTTTTTGTTTGTTTATTAATTTAATACTAATTTTTTATCTAAAAAATTATTTTGAAAACAAAAATATTTTGAATATAATATAAAAAATCAATCTTTGTGAAAAAAAATAAAAAGCCTAAAACATTATACAATATAAAACAGAAAAAGTATAATAGGATAAATCAAGTAAATTTATTTAAAAAATAATTAACTAAAAGGGACTATTTTATATTTAACATTTACCCTACTATTATTATATTTTTTACTGCATAAAGTTTTTTAATAATCGTATAAATTTATTTAAAACAAACTCTTCCATCAAAAATAGGAAAACTAATATAACATTTTCTATATACATAATTTTAAATATAGAATTCAACATCTAGCATAATGAATTTTAAATTTAGTTTCTTCAAATATTAAATCAATTTTAAATTTGTTTATGTAACTGAAAATTATCTAGTTAGAACAGACTACATCATAATATATGATTTAAAATTTAAATACTTGAATTGAAAGTACTGGCATTTGGATTTAGCGGACTAACCACTTGGATAATGACGCACTTAATTCTCGTTTAAAAAAAAAAAAGTGTGATCACTTATCATCATCATCATGATTTAAAAGAAAAAGGAGCGGCTATTTCTGTAAATCCAACTCCGTCGACTTCCTTTAGTTGGGCCCAGAAAGGCCTAGTTTTAAACTTTGCCAACACATCATCACCGACGTCGTTTGAAACCAAAATTTATTTTGTCTATTCCTTTCATATATTTAATAATAATAAATTTTAATAATAATAAATTAAATTCTCTCTCTCTCTTCTTCCTCTCCTCCTGGCTATCACTGTCAGTGGAACCGTTGGGGAGTCTAATTTTCACTGTGACCTACTATGCTTTTAGCCTCTTAGGTCATTGATCTTGTTTGGGACTTTGTAGAACAACATTCGAAGAACAAGCAGAGAAGGTTTGGTACTGATCGTTTTAATGGTTTAAGAGCTACATTCAATTTTTCGAGGTTGACGTTTCAATTTCTTTAACACCATATAGATAAAGTTGTCTGATTTTGATTTCTACCAGATCTGCCTATTCGCTCTTGCTCATCAGCTTCTATCTCTGATCATTGATTTTTCTTTTATTTGTTGGAAATAATTGAATTTTGTATTGGTATCTCCTCCCTGCAACGACTTTCATTTTTCTTTTGCTAGATGCTTTTTTTTGTCTTGTGGATCTTCATCATTTTTCTCTTCTCTGTCTTCAAGATCTCTCTGCTTTTGTTCACTTTATTTGATGGCTTTTTTTTTTCTGGGTCACAACATTACTTTTTAATCCATATTCTTTGATAAATGCTACTTTATCTTTTATATCACTGAACCGATTACTTTAGATGATGGATTATGCTACTCAACTTGCTGTGTAGACATGGCTTTGTTTATTTGCTTGTGGAATTCACAAACTTTAGCTTTTTCTCCTGCAGGTTTCTAAATTTAGCAACTTAGACGGCATCCGCATCTTGCTCTCTTGAGAATGGGAAAGACTCCTGGTAAATGGATCAAGACTTTGCTTCTCGGGAAGAAGTCGCCAAAGTCAAATTCAGCAAACGGGAGCGAGAAGCTTGTAAGCATATGGGATTTTCAACTTCTTTCTTCAATAAAAAATGTGGATTCTTCTAACTGCAATGTTGATGATGTTGCATGTACACAAAGAATTCTGCTAAGAAAGAAGAGCTGGTGGTATCAGTGATAGATGATTTTTCAAACTTATCGGTTGATACTCCCGTGGCTTCATCGCAGCCAGATCCAGCTTCAACTGCTCAAAACGTGGTTGCCCCAAGCAATGGTGATGATATTGAGACAAGGAATGACTTTGAAGAACTCAAGCTTAGACAAGCTGTAATTAAGGTTCAGGCTGCTTTCAGAGCTCGTCAGGTACTTACTATTATTTGCTAAAATCTACTTAAAAAGAGTTGAAAACATATATGATTGTGGTAATGATGATGATGATGTTTCGGCTCTTTCTGTTGAAGGCACGTAGAGCATTTCGAACCCTTAAAGGAATCATCAGGGTGCAAGCAGTTATCCGAGGTCACCTGGTCAGAAGACAAGCCGTGGCTACATATTCATGTATGTGGGGAATTGTCAAGTTTCAGGCGCTTGTTCGTGGCCAGAAAGCTAGATCTTTAGATAATGGGATTCAGTTTCATAAAACACATATGGTAGGATCTCTTTATCACGACTCTGTCACATAGTTAAGGCATGTCTTGTTTATAACCAAGCTCTCATTTTCCTTTCTTTTATTTAGGAAGCAAGTGATTCGGAAGCTTTGCAATTGAGCACGTGTAGTTGGATGAATAATCCCACAAAATTATTCATCGTTGATAAGGTATTCCCTTTAAACTTTGTTTTTATAATAAACTCAGACTTACCTATCCTGCAACAAAACGTTGATTCTTTGTTTCTGTGGCGTCTTTTTTCAGCTTCTGGCTTCATCACCAACTGCATTGCCTCTGATGATACAATATGGTCCTGAGGAACCTAACTCCGCCAAGGTTTGGCTTGAACGCTGGCAACAATTGCAAGTTTGGTCTCCTGGCTCACGAGCAGCTAGTGTAATGGTTCCAAAATCTAAGACAAAGAAGCGAAATTATGAAGCAGTGGCTGAAACAGAACCAGCAAAGCCAAAGCGAAGTATCAAGAAACAATCTGGCCGTGGAAATGGCTCTAACCGTTCTACAACTGAAAGGGAGAAACCTAAACGAAGTGTGAGGAAGGTTTCCACGCTTAGTAAAGATCGCCTGAGAGCTGAGAGTGACAAGGCTAAGCAAACTTCAAGAAAAAGTAGAAACGTCTCAAAGGAGGGATCTCCTTCAGAGGTTATAGAGGAGAAGCCTAGGCTTAGTCTTAGAAGATCTTCTCTTTCAAACGGGTCAGGGAAAGCCACCCGTAAATCTGCTGAGAAGAAGAGAGATACTGTGCAGATAGAGCCTGAAGTGAAGGTTTCAGATGTTCTTGAAGGAGAACACGGTGTTGAGTCAGCTGAAAAGGAGAAGGATACTGAGGATTATGTGCAGATAGAGCCTGAAGTAAATGTTTCAGATGTTCTTGAAGGAGGACAGGGTGTTGAGTCTTCTGAAAAGGAGAAGGATACTGCAGATTCTGGGCAGATAGAGCCTGAAGTAAAGGTTTCAGATGTTCTTGAAGGAGGATATTTTGCTATGTCTGCTGAAATGGAGAAAGGTACTGCAGATTGTGTGCAGGTACTAGAGCCTGAAGTAAAGGTTGCAGATGTTCTTGAAGGAGAACACACTGTTCAGTCTATGGAAAAGGAGAAGGATACCACAGATGTAGTTCCTAAAGAGTTTGATGTCGAAAAAGAAGAGAATTCACCGGACGATGAAAACATAACTGCAGAGACCAATGATAAAGGTGAAGACCTCAAATGCTCGGATGTGAAGGTAAGCTCCAAGGACGGTTGTATTGGTTCTTATAACACAAAGCCAAGTGAAAGACGAGTGTCACTGCATGCAAATACTGACAATCAAGATGACGGGAGGAAAATCCCCAGCTACATGGCCCCGACTGCATCTGCAAAGGCCAGAGTGAAAGGAGAAAGTTCTCCGAGATTGTCCCAAGAGACATTGCGGCGCCATTCACTGCCTTCTTCAGCCAATGGCAAGCTGAGTACTACTACTATGTCTCCAAGAGCTCACAGGCTTCTCCTAGCCTCAGCCAAAGGATCTATGAACGGCGACAAATCTATTTCGTCATCTAAGAACATAAGTGGTAAGCAAGACTCACGTGTACACAAAGTTCTCTTAAAATGCTAAAAGCTTTACCCATATCAATAACCTTTTAACTCATCTTGTTCTTGATTTTATCAGATAAGTCAAACAGAACCGAGTGGAAACGATGAAGGTTAAGACAAATGAGAGTGGTATCTCATCATCTTACACAATCGAGCTTAGTGTGATTTTATCTCTGTGTATTTGATTTGGTTTGGTTTGGTGAGTTTAGAGAAAGTGTTTGGTCAGAGTACATCCTTTTCATATGTTGCTTCAGTACTCTGATACATGTTTGACGACACAAAAATGTTTGAGTAAATAGTTCTTCTCTGTATAATCTATTCTGCTACTCTCACTCATCTCCAATCATACATAGACAAACCTGCATTTTACTACATACACATTACACACACAAGCATAGAGTATGAGTTTATACTTATCTTACACGCGGAGATTGATTGTAAGAAGGCAAAGGCGATGCACCAGGAGTCATGTGCAGCAGAGGCCGATCTTGACTATATCGTACCGGAGATTTCTGCACAGAAGAGGAATGACGAGCTCTTGGAGACTCCATCTGCGTGTGTTTGCCTCCAGGTTTAGCAGCGGATTCTAGCTGTTCTAATATGACTAAAACCTCTGACATTTTAGGCCTGAGCTTTGCCTCAGGGTTTAAGCACTGCAACGCAAGACTAGCAGCTGCGAAAGCTCCCTTTTGTGGATATTGGCCGCCTAGTTTCGTGTCCATTATGCGAAAAAGCTTTCGCTTATCTTCAAGGTAAGGTTTTGCCCAGTCCACAAGACTATATTCGACTCCCCCATTTGAGTTGTCCATGGCACGTCGTCCTGATATTAGCTCCAGTAGTACCACGCCGAAGCTGTACACATCACTCTTTGCCGTCAACCTACCTGTATAGTACATGAACATGAGTTTTCAGAATGTTAAAAGCTTCTTGGAGAAAGATAAAGCTTTTCAAGATTTAAAAGTCAAAAGCTTTTACAGAACAAACCTGTGGCGATATATTCAGGAGCTGCATATCCCTGAGTACCCATGACCTTTGTGGACACATGTGTGTTATCTCCAGTGGGACCTGCTTTCGCCAAACCGAAATCCGAAAGCTTAGCATTGAACTCCTGCATTAAGACACGATTACAAAACGGTTAAAAGTTAAAGCGAGTTCCCAAAAGTGAGTAGAAAGAGTTTCTGCTCGGTTTATTACAGCGTCGAGTAGAATGTTAGCAGCTTTGAAGTCTCTGTATATCACTTGTGACTTTGATTCGTGAAGAAAAGTTAGCCCTTTAGCTGCACCTACCGCCACTTTCATCCTTATCGCCCATGTAAGTGGCTGCGCACCACCTGCAATAAGCCATGGACCCTAAGATTATCTATATACCGAAACACAGTTGCTTCCAAGATTTGTTGAATTACAGAAAACATACGTCTAAAAAGATGATTCTCCAAGCTTCCTTTAGGCATGAATTCATATACAAGGAGCCGGTTTTCGCCTTCCGCGCAATACCCAACTAGTAATACAAGATTTGGGTGACTAAGCTGACCAAGATAGTTCACTTCAGTCTGACAAAACCAAAACAATACCTCAAATGTCAGCAAAAACGCACATCAGTCGTCTGAATGTTTCCGTGAACCAAGAACGGGAGAAAAAAAGGAACCTCAGGGCTTACCAACCACTCTTTATGACCTTGGAAACCTTCAGGCTTAAGCTTCTTAACAGCAACAACGATTCCAGAACCAGGCCTTGAAGCATTGAGAGTTGTTTCGTCAATCCATCCTTTGAATACACAGCCGAAACCTCCTTCGCCTAGTAGACTATCAGGACGAAAGTTCTTAGTTGCGTTCTTGAGTTCGTTGAAAGAGAAAGCTTTTAGATTTGGCGATGAAAGTATCTCTCCTTCTGTTCTAAGCGTTGGTAATGATCCTAAACTGCTCTCTGTGCTGTAAGAACTTGTGATTTGTCCTGAAGGAATCGTCGAACGGCTTGTCTTGCTCGAAACTTTCGATGCCGAAGAAGCTAGGAAAGTGATCCATCAAACGTAGAAAATCTCATTAAGAACTCTAATACAAGTAATAACAGAGCAATTCTAAAGGTTTGATATTTGTTGATCCAGACACAATTTGGTACTTCGAGTCAAAGATTTAATTCTGATCCAGAAAATCGTTCAAAAACCCCCATTTGGAGCATAAATACAAATTTCCAAGGAACTTAAGATAGAACCCAAATTAAGCAATAAAGAGAGGAAGTAATTACCAGAATTAGCATGTGGGCTATGGCTGCTACTATCCACTTTTGCTGATGAATCTAAGCAATTACCCATCTCAGATATAAAAACAAAAACAAATAACAATTTAGTGATATAAAGCAGCTTGAAATTCTCAGGCAGACAAAGCTCGCGTTCTTGTTGAACAGCGAAACAAGATGATCGGGACAAGAACAGAGCCTCAAAGAAGCTAGCACAGAAAAAGGTTTCGGCGGCGCAATGTCTGCTTAGCCGAATATAGACGTTCGTGGAATAAAAATACTAAAACAAGAAGAAAAGAAAATCTAAAGAAGACGAAGGAGAGAGGAAGGAACATGGAAGGTGAAGAGCAGAGGATCGTAAGCTAAACAAATAATGCAAAGTCGTCGTGTGGTTTTGTCCAGATTGACTTCAGTTTCTTTTAAAATGACAAATATGTCCCGGATTTTATTAGAGTTTTAAATTATATATCCGATTGCGTCATGCTCGCGCCAATAAATCCACCGTTGGATTATTAGTCGGACGACAACTTTTCAACGATATTTTCCAGTAATCCAGTGATAATGAATCATTACAAGAAGGATTAAGGAATGTGGTGGGATAACTAAAAGTCGTGTTCCCATCTCGTTGTATAGACAATGCTTAAAATTTTGCTAGCGAATAGACGAATTTTTTTTAAAATCTCAAGAGACAATGTTTCACAACTTTAATCAAAAGTATTCATAAATATTTCTTATTTTCCCACCTCTGTCTTTTAAATGTTTCGGGAATTATTTTGGATGGATCAAGTTATATAATTGACTCGAAAACATATACAGTAAATAATTTCATATTTAAGTAGCTTATTATTCTGTACAACACTTTTTATTAATCTGAAATGTCGAAGTTATAGAAAAAACCAAAAAATAAACTTTTTATTTTAATTTTGACGTATAAAGAAAAGTGGAATTTATGGGGTTTGGTTGTTGTTTTTTCAACCAATTATAGTCTTTGTTGAGAAATAAAATATTGTTTTTTTCAGTTAGGGGATAAAAAGGTGGTGGCTGGATCGCATATATCGTTGAAACTTTGATAACTATTTTACGATAATAATATATCGATTGTAATTAGATTATAAATTTTAGGAATGAAATTATGTAGAATGGAGGATTTTATAAAAAAAAAATACAAAATTGTGATCATTTATAAGAAATGAAAAAACAAAACTATTCCACTTATTTTATTCATTACATACATAAAGGAAAAAATAAATCTTTTAAAAAAATTATTACATATTTTTTATTTCACATAAATTTATTCATTTTATTCTATTTATTCTAAGTTGTTATTACCAGTTATTTTAAGGGATTAGAAGTAGAAATTTTTTTAAGTTTTTCAACTAATATAGAAAATAAGGTATAAAATACAAGAGTCAACTTTTATACAATTAAATTAAATTTAATAATATTTAATTTGCATGTTATTTATGTGCAAAAATTGCTAATTTTTTATTAAATTCTTCTAATTTTATTGAATATCCAAATGGAACAAAGTTAATAATATGCTTTGGACTATTCTTTAATTTGTAATTTAAGTATATGTTACAAATTAGTATATATTATGTTACATTAACAAAAATAATATATATTATCTACTTTCGAAAGAATGTTTTTTTTACTATCATTTTCAAAATACAGAAAGTGTTACCGCATCAATAGTTAGTCTTCGAGTATATTGATGATCTGAGTTTCGATTATGTGCAGCCTGATATAAAGCTGATAAAAACACGAATTGAAGATTTGATCAACCGGGAGTATATTGAGAGGGATGAGGAAAATCTCAAATACTTAGCTTAGTTAGGATTGATCAGCCGGGAATATATGGATTAGGAAAGTTTTAAATATTTGGCTTACTGTAACGCCTTAGTTATTATATGATATACTTCACTATGAGATTTTGACAGCAGACTTACTAGCGCTTTTTTTTTTGACAAAAAAAATTTTTGTTGACAAAGATTATTAGTGCTTTTTGACCTGTGATATCTGAAAGTGTGAGTAGCTGTCTCGGTCTCATTTGTTACATATGAATTCTTGAGACAAGATTGGAGTTTATCCGCCATTATCTTGTGTGTGTCAACATCATCATTCTCTTGTTCATCTACTCTATGTTTTGAAGACGATGTGGTATTTGAAGTTTGCAATATGAAACTGTCTGCATTAAACAGAGAAATTTTTTTATCATTTAAAAAGTTGAAAAAATAACACATCACCAAATATCAGGAAATGTTGGACTATTGTTGAAACACAACTCTAATAACAATTGTACCTGCACAACAGTAACATTTGAAACATTTTTACGGAAGAACCATAATGATTTTATAGCAGCCTTTCAGGAAACTAAGGAACTGCGAAATCGATTTCTAAATTAACTTCAAAATGTAGGGGTATTAAAAGAAATAGAAAAAAAGTTGTAAAACGTGGGAGAGTTTTAAATAAAGAGAATATTACTCTTAAAATTAATTGGGCCAATCAAAACCCGATGACAAATTAAGATCAGTGACGCCCAAACTGAGAAGGCCAAGGTTGTGTTCGATTCTGATTTGAGGAAGAACATGGTAGCCTTTAGTTATGGTGATAAATCTGATTTTGCCCATTTAATTGTTGTGTCTTTGAGGAGCTATATGGAATTATATACTAGTTTGACCATAGCTGGTTTCTATGTTATAGGGAGGAATACTACTTCGAAAAACTCATAGGTCAGCCTTTTCTATGACGATCATAACTTGAGTCAGGTTTCCTTATGATAAGGACCTTATTGTTCATCTATAAGTAGAGAAACCAAGTCACTAATCCATCTGAATGGTATTGCTTCAGTCTCATCATCCCATACATCTGGCTTCAGAGCCAAGAGAGGTAGTAAAGGTACTGTTTCATCCAAAACTCTTCTTGATCTATTTACCGTACAAGTTGAAGAACGGATACCAAGAATGAAAAACTCAAGAGAAGCAGATCATGTGTGCTTAAACTTGTGGAATCTCTGAGTTGGGTTTAAGCACACTCACATACTCATGGAGTGACATGGCTGAAAGATTTTGATGCCCCAACGATTTTGATGAAAGATCATAAAACAGACGGGACGGGTACACTGAGGATGCGGTATCCAAGCTTTTGGTCGTGATAAAAAGAAGCTCTAAACCTGTGAAAAACATTTGAAATTTGCTCATAAGGGAGTCTGTGATACTGATGATGAACTTCCTGGACCCATGGAGGAAGCATCAAGCGATGATGAGGTTTTGTTCTCTTCCTTTTCTGTGATTTGGGTCGTTTACTTCTCTTGTCAATTTACAATCAAATCCAAATAAGATTCTTCTGTTACATTGCCTAGTTTCCCAACCAGAAGAAACAATTTGTTGGAGACCGGTTTGATGAAGCAATAAAAGCATCCTCTTTGAGGAAAGCTGGTTGTCTGCAAATGCTCTGTCATCGACGTTTCTGGGGGTTTTCTCTCCATCTCTTGATCTTGAAGCATCTAATAAAACAATTAGACCCTTTCGAGATCTATACATCTGATTATAAGAATTGAGTTCGGTGTTGTAAGACTCCCTCTGGCTTAAGAATACACAAGCTCTTACGGCCAAAGAAACAGTAACAACAATCATCTTCAATCGGGAGCTTTATCCGTCTATATGCGCTATGGTCAATTGAGATTCCATTCTTTAAACTCTTATCTCATGCCAATTTGTCACTTTGTGATATTAGCTTTTCAAAAAGAGATGGAAGTGAAGAACCCTAATGACGTGATTATTTTGTCTTCATATTTCTCATGTCTGAAATGTAACTCACATAGGAGCCATGGGAACAGAACACTTTCCTCCAATATAAATAAATTAATTAAGAAAAGAAAACAGAATTTACAATGCATGTCAATTGATGGATCAACAAAGGCAAACAATAATTAGAAATTACAATGTTCATTACTATTGAAAAAAAATAATTTATTTATAGAGACTAAACTTTCGAAATAGCAAACATGCAACAATAACTTGTTCCTTTGATAGTGATGAGAGTGACAATATTTTCTTCCCAAACCAAGAGTAACTTCTATTCAGATTTATCGATCGAATGCATTTTTGCTCATGTCTTGCTGCATGAATCGAACGACCATATCACTTGGTCGGGCCACTTTTTCTTGGATACAATAGCCGGCCCTGATTTTTAATGGCCCGCATGCTGCAAATATAAATGGGCCGATTTTATTTAGTGAAAAACATTAAATAGAAAAGAGAAAAAGTTTTAAGCATCAGGGTGATCGAACTCAGGTTGAGCAAGAGAAAGAGAAATTAAAACAGCCACTAGACTAAAAATGCCCTCAGGTGAAAGGGGGAACGAAATTTTATATATAAAGAGAGGGCCGTAATCATGGGCTTGCTCCGCTTGGGCTTAGGGCCGGGCCACACAAGCGATTATCAAGGTTGGACACATGATTATTTTGTCACCATTAATTAGCACATGCAAAATGAGTTTTAGAGATGACTTGAAACGTTTCAGTGTGAAGATCTAGAGAGAACATTGGTTTCTTTACATTCGGCGTCCATCTGTATACGGAGGATCATGTAAGCAAAAGGAAACTTACTTTCTAATTTTAATAAGACAAGGAAATTTTAACCACTTTCATTTTTTTTTAATTTATAAATATCAAAATCTTTTAAGATTTATTTTTAAACTCTTAAGTTTTAACCAAAAAAACTTTTGATTGATCGTCCTGCTAATATCCACAAATTCTGATTGTTGGCTTATATATTTTAACATTTTTTGCTAACAGCTCTTTCTGAATAACAATTATAATTGTGACTAGAAGAAGAAAATTTAGTTACAAAAAAAACTGAAAGAAGAAAAATAATAAAACCAAGATTTACTTGAACAGAGATTTATTTTCTTATTTGTTTAATATGTTTATAATATTTATTTAAAAGAAAAATTTGGAGAGATACATAAAAACAAATCATAAGATGACTTTTTGTTGAAAAAAATATTTCTTTAAAGTTAAAATAAAATTAAAAGTTTGACATTACAGTAAAAAAAAATGAAAAATGAACTAAAAAGAATTTTTGTAACAGTAAAAAATAGAAAATTTTTTATAGCAAAGCTACAGACTGTCGAGGCAAAGTCTCGTCGTGGTTGAAGGGACAATCAGATTTTTCGCAAATGCCTCTATCACTGTAGTAAATATATACTAGATTTAAATTAAATTTCAAAAAGAAAAAATATTTATATCTTAGATGGTCAAATGAATACAAAAAATAAAGCAAAAAATATAAGAATCAATTTTCATATAATTAGATTATGTTAAACAGTTTTTTAATTTATGCATCATTTTTGTAATTTATGCGTTATTCTTGTGCAAAAACTGCTAAAAAAAATTTGTATTCTTTTAATTTTATTAAATGTTCAGTGGAACAAAGTTAATAAAATAGTTTAGACTATTCTTAATTTGACCGTGTCATCGACACTGCTACATTTAGTAGGAGTTATTGGTTCTTGTATTTTGGTGGATTTATAAATCTTTTTTGGATTTGATAAATTTATTGATTTCAAAATCAGCAAAATAGAAAAAAATCAAATCCACTCAAATACCAATGTTATATCTTGTATTTGGGTCTTTGTATTTTAGTCATGAAAATCCTTCCAAATCCATTCAAATTCAATTAAAACTCAAATCTTTATAATATTTAGATTCTAAAATGATAGAACCAATAACACTGTATTTCATTATGGATTTTAAAATCATAGAACCAATAACACTGTATTTCAATATAAATTTTAAAATACAAAAACCAATAACACTGATTTGGTTTGGATTCTCAAATCCATTAAAATACATGAACCAATAACACCTCTTTAGATTTACTTTTCTAAGCTATCCAATTTGGGTTCTACAAAACTACGTGCCGTTGTCTTAGAAGAAAATGTCACGTAGTTCCAATTTTGATTTTTGACATGGATACCATTGTGTGACTTGGAATTTTAGAAACAAATCCACGTCTACTGGCCAATGAGAAACGCCATGTCATATCACCTATCCAATGATACAGGTCCACGTGGGGCATCTACGTCTTCCTCGGACACTGTAATAACTTCCGTTTTCACTTCAGATCGATCTCAAAATTTTGATCGCAAATCAGGTGAATATAACATAAACTGAAATTCGAAACTTTCGCCGGATTTTAGGCGGAGAAAACAATAGGCGGCGTGCGGCGATGGAAGCTCACGGCTCCGGTCTCCGGCGAGTTCTGTTGTTGTCGTTCTGTGTCGCCGGGATCTGGGCCGCTTACATTTACCAAGGCGTTCTCCAGGAGACCCTGTAAGTAAAATTCTTAGGTCGAATCGATCATCTTGTTTATCGCTCCTCGATTATTACCTTCGCTATCGCTCGACTCTATCTGTCCGAGATCGTTGCTGTTCTAGGAATCCATATTGGTGATGCGTTTGCAAAACAAATTCGTGATTGGAATTTATAGAAATGTAGCTGTTAAGAAGCTGAAATTTCTATCAAAGGACTCAAATTTTCCGTTTGAAATCAGGTCGACGAAGAAATTTGGGGAAGATGGGAAGAGATTTGAGCATCTTGCATTTCTGAACTTGGCTCAGAATGTAGTTTGCTTGGTCTGGTCGTATATAAGTGAGCATTCGAAATACTCTTCCTTGTTGATTCATTAGTATATGTATGTGTAACGAAGAATGAATGAAGATGAAGTCTTTATGTTTGCAAATTCGATTATGAGCAGTGATTAAGCTGTGGTCCAATGGAGGTAGTGGTGGAGCACCATGGTGGACATACTGGAGTGCTGGCATTACTAATACAATTGGTCCTGCCATGGGCATTGAAGCTCTCAAGTATATCAGTTACCCAGCTCAGGTAACTTAAAAAGGCATCTTTTTAGGTTGATTATTCAGCTAAACCGTCTCCGAGGTATTTGATGGGGAACTTGCTTTTTCTGCAGGTTCTGGCTAAATCTTCTAAAATGATTCCAGGTGAGGTTTCTATTTGGATTTTGGAGCGTCAATACATTTATTCTTCAAAACAGTTGTTAGAATCAAGGTGTATATCTTATCGTTGCTTGTTTCTTTCATGTAGTTATGCTGATGGGTTCCTTAGTTTATGGCATAAGATACAGTTTGCCTGAGTATCTCTGCACCTTTCTTGTTGCGGGAGGAGTCTCCATGTTTGCCCTTCTTAAGGTAAGCCTTTAATCAGGAATTTTGATCAGAACATGTGTTATCATTTGTCTCCGGAATGTAGAACTAAACTGTCTTTGAATGGTTTCAGACAAGCTCGAAGACCATCAGCAAGTTAGCAAATCCGAATGCCCCACTTGGTTACGGGCTTTGCTTCTTGAACCTTGCGTTTGATGGATTCACAAACGCTACCCAGGATTCCATTACCGCAAGGTATGATTCTTGACATGATCGTATAACTCTAAGTCTTAACTCAAGATCTTTTTAAGTGAGTGTAATCAATCGCCGTACATGGATACATACAGGTACCCCAAAACTAACGCATGGGACATAATGTTGGGAATGAATTTGTGGGGGACCATATACAACATGGTCTACATGTTTGGGTTGCCACACGGGAGCGGATTCGAAGCTGTGCAGTTCTGCAAGCAACACCCTGAGGCAGCATGGGACATTCTTATGTACTGTCTATGCGGCGCCGTGGGCCAAAACTTCATCTTCTTGACAATAAGCAGATTCGGTTCTCTAGCTAACACGACCATAACCACCACACGCAAGTTTGTAAGCATCGTGGTTTCCTCAGTTCTGAGCGGGAACCCATTGTCCTCCAAACAATGGGGATGTGTGTCGATGGTGTTTGGTGGCTTGTCTTACCAAATTTACCTGAAATGGAGGAAGCTGCAGAGAGTGCAGAAGAAGAAAAAGACTTGAAGAAGCCGAAAATGGGGCTCCGAGTTCTAAAATTGTTTTTGATTTGAGAACTTTTTAGTTCGACATATAAAACCCAGAGGTCTGAAACTTAGAGGGAAGAAAAGCTTTAGTCACATTAGCAAAATGTAAACTAATGCATTAGAAGAATCTTATTTATATCAAACCAAACTCAAATCATATTTCCACTCAAATATATAAGTCTTTACAATCACATTTTGCAATACAATATATCCTAGGAGGGAACAAGTTTTTAAGTTCTATTGTCTTCTTCTTTCACAGCTGTGAGAGGACAGCAACAGACAAACACAGGTAAAACTCTTCCCTCTTCCGAGTTTTTTCGTTTCCCTAAGAGTTACACTCTGAAAGACTTCATTATACATATATGTGATAGAGAGATTCTGTACAGAGATGAAGAAAACAAATAAACAAATCAGGGGAAAATGCTCAGATGATGTATCTGAATATGACCCTTAGAAACAAACCAAAGAATTTTTTTTTCTAAAGACACACTGGTGCCTTCCTATGTAGATGGCTTCCTTATGTTTAGCAAGAAGAAAATAAAGAGAAAACCTGAATCTGATGTATATGGCAGATTCTTGAGAGCTTTCTTTGTTGGCACTAGAAATGTTACCGTTAACATTCTAGGACCAAGAAAGAAATTTTAAAAAACCTTTTTGAGGAAGGAATGCAGATCATGGCATGCCCGCTTCACAAAAACTTTCAGGCCGATATGGCTGCAAAACCTAAAATGAAAATCTAAGCAAAAGAGTGGGAATAATTACGCCTCCATGGAGACAAAACCGCGGTTTAAGTGTGAGAGAGAGATGGTTGGTTGGTTTTACAAACTATGGAGAAGGACTCTCTTGCAAGGGGGTTGGTGTGAAGGATTAGCACTTGGACATGGAGATGAGGCCTCGATCCCGAGTGTTTTTAGCAGGAAGCTCCTCTCCTGCAAAACCAATCACTCTCTAAGACTCAAATGTTTGAATCAAAGCTATATGAATGGTAAGCAAGTGTGAAGCTTACACTTTCAGAGAATTGTGGGCTTGGGATGCCATCAGCTAGAGATCTGAACAATGGCGTGACCTGAACTGGCGAGCTGAACTTTTCATCAGGTTTGTTTGGGACATCGCAAGCTGAAACCAACTCCTCTCCACCTTGTTTATGTTCTGTCTGAGTATCAGACAATGATGGTTGTGTTCTGTCACGAGACTGATCCAGCATTATGGTTGATCCTGAACTATACTCAGAGCTAGCTGGTGAGTCATGGAGATCAGGTTGCCTGGAGAACATATCAAATGAAAAGCTTAGACAATCAAAGCCTCACAAAAGTTATGCAGTGATTTTAAAAAAGGAAGAAGATAGTTTCACCTCCAAGATGGCTGATTGTCTTCATAACTACTCCTCAAATCCTCTACAAGATCCTTAAATTCCTCCAGTTGAAAATCAATATCAGGTATTCCATATTTGAAGAAATCATTTTCCTTGCCTTTATTCAAGAAATCCTGAAGAACCTGAAACAAGAGGGTTTTACTATCAGGAAGCTTGATACTTTCTGCCATTTCGCTATGCAGAGAAGAAGTGGTTTCTCTGTTTTACCTTCCAAGCATTCTCCATGCTTTGTTCTGTGTTGTCTGCATTAACTCTCTGCGCCAACGAGCTTAGCAGTTCAGCTTGCTGCATCAAAGCTGTCACTTTCGGATCATCCTTCTTGAGAAACATCCCTTCACCATCACTCTCCTTCACATCGCTTGTTTGGTTCTGTTCCTCCAAGCTATCAAACCCCGTGGCATTGCGTGCTAATACCGAAAATGGAGATCTTGTCAGCTGATTCACACAAGACTCAGCCTTTCCATAGTTACCGATCTCTGTGAGATCTATAATGTGACTTCTCCTGTATATTAATAACCAACAAGAACATGAAACCAGTTGGGAAACTTATAATATGTTTTGCAGTTTGTTGATACAGTTAAAGAAACAAACTTTTACCTCATTTTCTTAGCAATAGGAGCTTCATTCTCGGCTTTTCTAGGTGTGCTGATAATACCGTCTAAGAACAACATTCTTTTGTTGTTTGAGTTGCTCTCTTTAGCCATAGCTTCATTCTTGGCTCTCTTCTTACAAAGCGTTGTAAACCTGTTCTTCACAGCATTATCCGTTCTACAAACACACAGAGCAGAACGTTAAGTAATCACTTTGGTCTTATTAATAATGACTTCACCCACAATTAGAGCTTGAGCTTTGATTTTACCTGCCTGAAACCACCTTTGCTATCTCAGTCCATCTATTCCCGAACACTCTTTGTGCCTAAGAAATCACATACAAGAGATGATAGATGATCAGGGAAAGCCTAACCACCAAATCTAAAGATAATGAAGTCTGTAAGTGAAGCCAACCTCACACAAAAGCATGTCCTCTTCAGGGGACCAGCCTCCTCGTTTGAAATCAGCGTTCAGGTATGTATACCATCTGCAAACAAAAAATCCATACCCGGATTTAAAAACTCTGTTTTGAACAAAACCCATAAATATTTTGATTGAATCGGATTCACCAACCTTCTTCTGCATTGTCTTGTGCTTTTATCCTTAAACTTGGATGCGATGATCGCCCAACTAGTATTATCAAAACACAATGGAAACAAAAGCTTCAAAATCTTTTTAGAATCCCTCTTTCTAAAAACCAAATCTTTCTCAGGGAGTGAAATGAAGAAAAAAAATTATATAAAAGGCTCTCACTTTTCGGTTCCATGAATAGTAATTTGTTCTCTTAGTATAACATCCTCCTGCAACACAAGAAACCCATTTCAGAATCAGACCAAAACAGAGCAAAAACAGAGATTCAGGAAACACGTATTCATATGTATTCATCGCACCTCTGGTGTCCAAGTAACAATATGACGTTCCTTCTTCTTTGAATCCTCGTTATTAATATTCTTCTTCTTTTTCTTCTTCGTCTCTTCCATTTTTTCTTCTTCTTATTCCTCACTTCTCTCTCTCTCTCTCTCTCTCTCTCTCTCTCTGTTTATTATCTACTTAGTTTTTTCTTCGACGCTCCGTTGCCTTTTTAAAAATCCAAGTCCTCCTCCTATCACACATAGACTTCAACTTTTTCCAGGAAAATAAATAAAAAATCGGAAAAAGAAAAAAAAACAAAACCTAATGAAAGACAAACTCTGAAAAGGAACTCATTTTCGTCACTCAAAAACTCTCGACTTATCTGCTTTATTTATTCTCCACTGGAACTTAATTCCTCTGTTTCGATTTTTTACAGAGATCGAGCTACAGCAAAAAGGAAATGGGTTCTTCTTATATATAAGAAAACTAAAAAGAATCATAAATCATGGATTGAAATAAGAATTTTGCTTTCTTTTTTTTTAAAGTCATTCACGATTCATGAACACATGGGTTTCGTTTTATCATATTCAAAATGCTAGAAAACAATAAATAGTAAATAAAAGAACTCATTCTCTCGATTGAATCTGAGGAATTTATTTCTCTCTCCACATGAGAACCTTTTTTTTAGAACTCTCTCAATTTAAAGATATTTTAAAATAAACAAAAAATAGATAAAATAGAAAATGAAAGCCAACGGATGGGTGAGTAAGTGCGCGGGTATGAAGGGAAGTTTGAAAAATAAACGCTGAAACCCATGAGACCTTGTTCTCCATTAATGCCTCCCTTCTTCCCCAATTATGTTTCTTTGTCCTTTTTTGTTCACTTATTTTATAGACTGTCTTTTCTTCAAAAAAATGTTTATATTTGTTGGTATGCACTTTTTAAAGTATAGATAGATATTGTAAAACAAAATCAAATACACTTGCCATTATGTTACAGTAGAAGTAGTGTGACTAGAGTTTTGTGGAGAACATGATTACTTTTATGGGTTTCCTACATCGGTATTTTGAACATGTCTAGAGTATGATGTTATGTGGTTCAAAATGATTGATTTGATTACGTATACCCTTATTATTAGGAATATAGGAATGACATATTTGCTTCAAGAAAGTATGATAACGTTTTAGTTTCAAGTACGATTCTAGGGAAAGTTTTTCTTTTAGTTGTTTTTTGAAAAAACCTTTATTATACTCTAATGCCTCTCTCTTCAATTTCATCAAAATAGTGATCAATGTATTTATTTATTTTTACACTTTTATTTATAGAAGTAAATTCGAAAAAAAAAATCAGGAATAAATATGAGAATTACTAGATGAAAAGATTTAGTCAAGTATAATACAGTATATATATTATATATATATCAAGAAAATGATGTTTTGTATATAGAGTTTTAGCTAGTGAATATGTATATACAATGTGATAGTTGAAAAGATCAACGAAAGGTGAGAGTAAAAAAAAGACTAGAACATGGAAAAAAGAACATGTTTTGGATTTGGAAACTAAAAAAAAAAAATTGTGATCGAGAATTGGAATTACTTCATTGGTTTTTTTTTAAAAAGAAAAAGGGTACATGACAACTTATGTGATTCAACGGCCATGATTCGTTTGGTTTGATTCTTCTAGTTTTAAATTTAAAATTTTTCTCGAATTATTTTCTTTTAGTCTCAATGCATTTAGAAACTTGGAAAGTCATGTACAATGAGCTGTTTCAATTTAATTTAGACCGGAAAGAAGCTCCCATCAGTCACGACGAATGCAATTGTTTTCGGTAACTACTTCTACTTGCTACTCTTCTTCAGTCAAATAAATACTTGATATGGTTATTCTTTGGAGTAATTATTTTCTCCTGAGTTTATCATTTTATCTCTTAAAAAAAATAGTTTGATTACATTTGAAATATTGAGCGGGTCAGTGATTTTTAGTATTAATAATCAGAATGAACAGTTTCGTTTTTTAGTATCTTAATTTATGTAAATAACAAATAGTACATATGATTATAATTCACTCAAAATTCCAATGATACTTTAAGGAAATTTATTATTTTTTATATTAAATGTTCAAAAAAAAATTTATATTTTTTTCTCAATTTTAATTTCTGACAACAAAAGAAAACATTATAGTTAATGGTTATTTATGAACTGTCGAAGTTTAATTGGAACATGAGATACAAGCGATACATTGGCGCGTGGTGCCTTGGATTTGAGTTTAGACAGCGAAGCACCTCTGACATATCACATTTTATGAACAGTTGCTGTAAGAAAAATCTAATTTTTTACTGTTACTTGAATTCTCTTTTGTCCACACCCTTTGTGTATTTATATTCGCTTTTAATTGATTCTCTCAAGACTCTAATAGTTTTAGGCGCAATTTTAATTCTCTTCTCAGTTCTGTTTTGAATTTTACTTTTAACAATTTAATGCATGTAAATAACATATAACATCGACATACGAGATTAAACGTAAAAGACTTCTGAAAAGGAACATTTTAAAAAGGCTTTGTCCAAATTTAAACTTCTCTTTTGTTATTATGGGAAATAACTTTTCTCTAAAGTTGGATATATGTGGGTGTCTTTGATCTTGTCAAACGAGAAGTTTTTGTTAGTAGTAGATTTTGGATATGGTCATATGGACTGTAACGCCAGATAAGTTAAACCTTATATATTCGACTAAAGACGAAATTAAACATTATATTCTATTAACTTTTTAATTGGTTTTTTGTTTGTTGCATCTCATATTCGACCAAAAAAAGAAGTTAAACGTTAGTATATTCTATATTAACTTTTAATTGGTTTTTGTTTGTAGCATCTCAAAGATTTTTTCTTTTCATCATTTTATGATTTTTTTCTGTGATATAATATTTTCTTCAACAGAAAAGCTATCTTATGATTTTTTTTTTTAATGTATCTTCCTTAGGTTTCTTCTAAATAAGTATTAGAATCATTTAAAAAATAAGAAAGTAAACTTCTGTTCGTGGTCAATCTTGGCTTTATTTTATTATTTTTCTTCATCAGTTTTTTTTTTCCAACTGACGTTTCTTCCTTTTTAGTCATAATATATAATTGTTGTTCAGAAAGAGCTGTTGAAACAAATGTTAGAATATATAAACCAAAATACATGATATTAACAAAACGTATAATATATATTTATTCGAAAAGATATTTGTATTATATATATAATACATATATTTACATGTTTGTCTGTACATATGTGTACGAACGTTCGTACGCATTGTATCATTCTTTGATCTGAGACCATGTAAAAGTAAAACATATCAACGATTGTAAAATATTAATATTTAATAATACATGAATTAACGTATCCATCTCAACGAGACCTATTCTCATTATTTTTTTGTCAACGAGGCCTATTCAATACACTAACTAGTTTTTTACTTAATCATCGTTCACTAGATATATGTATTAATTATCGAATATGATTGTCTGAAATGTGAATGATGTATCATGTATACATATAGAGACGCATACTAATAAATATATGTTCATTGTCCAAAATAGAAGCACATGAGTATTGTTCTCGATAGTTGACAAATGCAATTATGCATATCAAGGAAAATTCTTAGGTTTCGATTTTAGTAATGTAAAACAAAACAAAAATCTAAATGCAATTAGTTTATCAGATTAAAAGAAGTGTTATTTTGGACTTTTAATACTATGTGTATCCAAATTCAGTTGTAGTGCTATAAATTTAGAAAGATACTACTTTAACAAAAAAAAGTGAAAAAAAATATTTGGAGAGTAGATTCGACTCTCGTTTGTTACAGCTAATTTGTTATTCTAAAAAGGTTAAAAAGATTTGTTAGCTGATCATACATAACAGTTGCAGGAGAACTATATATCTCATACTTTATTCAAACGATAGTAGATATTAGTGTAACACATTATTTATATAATTTGTATCATATACTTAAATTACTTCAACTCAAATGCAAACACACTTTAACTGTGAAAGTCATCCATCTTGAAAATCACTTTTCGTTAGTGACTTACTGTTTCATCCTGCTCACTCCACTAGCACGTATACGCTAATGGCATAATGTACATGGCGTCACCCACCTTTTCCCAATACATAACCAAAATCATTATTACTGTCATACCCATCAACTAAAGCATATACCCTTACGCATAGAGGTGGATATAAGTTATAACTAATTAGTTGGCGAGCAAAACATTGATGTGAGCGATCAAAGAACGTACGTTTACAATTAGCTCGGGTATTGAGAGAGACAATATTTTAGCTTGTAAAACTAATACGAAGGTCAATAATTTTTAATTATATTATCAGATATCATCATTTACGTTGCGTGCGTGATTAAGTATTTGGCTAATCATCTTACCAATGTTTCTAGGAAATATAGTTTGAACATCGTCTAACAAGCCACAAATAAATAAGGGTGTATATATATATGTGTGTTTTATGAAAGAAAAGGGTCGGTGGTATGAGAAGGTCCACAAGTACACAACCGATAAGTGTTATAAGAAGCCAGAAAAGGACTAAAGTCTATGATAAATAATGGAACCCTATGCAAAAGCCTTCCTTTCTACTTCACATTTTACACTACAAACCCCATTCCTTTTTCTTTTATATTAATCCAACAAAGTTTAAGTCTTTATAATATTCGGTGCCTTTTTATTTTCTTTTACTGTTTATCTTTTTAAGAAAGAAAAAAAAAAACTGACATGTAAATTTTAATTGGACGTTGATTTTGTTGTTGTTAGAGTGTGTCTCGATTCTAAGATGTAACGCGTCATTTGTTCTCTCATGTAGACAGCGTTTTTCCTTTTGTAATGGATATTCTATATATATATATCAAATCAATATATAACCAAGATATGTTACAACGTTTGACATAATGGAATTCAACAATATATAACCAAGATGAACTTAACGTTAAAAGAAACAAACCGATTATTTACCCGATCAAACAAACTGCATGCATTAGACGTGCATGTTTATTTTCTCTCTTTGTTTTTTGGTCGAACCGAAAATTTTTTTTCTCTCTTTTTATAGACTTTTTCCGGAATAAATTAAGATGTGAGAAATACTCATGT